AAATTATTTATTATTTGCTTTAGATACAAAACAAGTATGTGTTTTATTTCACTCATGTTTTCTTTTTATCTTGATCTGTTTTATTTACAAAAGAAACAAAAACAAAAGGATGATATCGACACCATTCGACCGATAATGATTTGCAATAAGGCACCTACGATGGGCATTTCACATTGTCTCAGTCATTTACTCTGGTCTATCTTTACACAAGCAACGGGATGTCGAATATTTACCAATGGTGCTGATCTTGTTCAAACGTTTGAGTTATATTCAAGAAATAATGCTCTTCAATCGACAACGCTATTTGTTACATTTAATATCCATGAACTGTGTACCAAATTTTCACATGACATTATGTTCAAAGCTCTCGAACATCTTCTTCTGACGTATGGTACAGAAGAGACTATGGATGGTTTGACTATTGAAACAATTCTTCAATTGGTACGTCTGGTACTAGGAAATCAATTTTTCGTTTATCAAAATCGACTCTATCAACAAACGATTGGAAATGGTTCGGGTTGTCCATTGACTATTCCATTGACTTACATTTATCTGTGTTATTGTCAACCAGCATGGATGTCTGTTCTGATGGCTCAGAAGCAGCAAAATGAACTATTTGGCAGGTAAATATCTTTCCTTCGATCACAGACAACCATTCATTATTTCGATCATCATTGAATAGATTTCAGTACGATGTATTTCTAACATGGAATAGATCTGAAGATCAACTTCAATTTTTATTTGAAAAACCAATTACCTTAGAGAAACATCATCGAGCTATTCACATCGAGCCCTCTATTGGAACAATGTTTCATTTTCTCGATGTAGTATTAGGTCATCACCATGGTCATCTTCATACTCGAATTTATCATGATCCAGTGATGGATCAATATGAATTACCAAATAAATTTGAAGATGAAACATGTCTATCATCAAGATTATTACAAATGATATTAATGTATGCTGTGCGATGTTGTTCGAATGAAGAAAGTTTTCATTTTGAACGACGTTATATCAAACTTGTCTATCTTCTGTATGACTTTTCCGTACATTTTATTGATGATTCTATTCAACAATTTTACAAACAATTTCATGCCTCTGAAGTCCATTATCTTATTGATAGAATTCCATATGAAACTTTACGAAAACGAGTGATACAACGTTATGAACAATTAATTGTCTTGAAAAACAGATGGTCTATGGAAATACAGATGATTCAACCTATTTTCTTTTCGGACCCATCAATGTTGGATTATTTTAAGCATCATTTCTTCGATCTGTTAGAAAAATGTTTCCTGTTTGAACCAGAATTTCATGAAAATGAGATCGAAATACGACTCGATTTCATCAATAATATTCCTCCGTCTATCATGAAGTATTTCGAACAGCAAAAACCACTACGTCATATTTTAATGTTGCCAATGGAAAAGAAAAACAGAAATAAATATGAAAGTAGTATGTATCTGCAACGAATTCATCTTTCTTTACTTGATAAGTTTTTTTTTTTTTCATTCTAGATGATGGCCACGAAAAGACAATATAGTACAATGGGAAAACTAAAGATGAACAATAATAATTTAGCTCATCGTTTCTTTTTTTGTTTACTTTTTGCTTTCTTCTTCTTCTCCATTGTCTTATTGTTGACAATAGAGTTTTTTTTTTGGTTGAAAACTAGTTGATCGATTTGATGTTTATTTCCTTTTTGTTTCAGATTTCTCTCTCTCTCTCTCACTCATAGAATCGTATACCTCGACATATAATGGTTGAGCAAATTCATCATCAAGCCATTGATGTTGTTCTACCATGGATGGATAACATGTATGAAAACGAAGATGACAATGACAACAATGAGAAAATCATCAATCTATCGGAATATACTATGAATGAACGTCCTCTGTATCGAGTTACACGAAAAGACTACCTCAACATCATTCGACAACAATTACAAGCCAACGAATGTATTCTATTAACTGCTTACAATACCTACGCTTATTATGCATGTGCATTGACTGAAATGAAACTGAAAATACATGAACACATGACACGTACAGGTGCTTATCATTTAATGATGGAATTTCATTCGACGCATTCATATGTGATGGAAGAAGTTGTGAAGAAAATGGATTATCGAATAATGAAAAAATTGGATTCTTTTTTACATAATAAATTAATTTCCTATTGGCAATGGCTACAGATGAGCATCAATCAATTAAATAGTCGACTTAATTTTCTCTATTATTTACCTGATACACGTCGAGTAAGTTCATATGAGTGTGATCAATCTCTTTTTATTTGTTTCTTTTTTTAACTGTGTGCTGTAGGTCAATGTTCCTTTTCATCCAATGTTCTATTGTCGTCATCGTTTAACCATGAATATGTCTCATTTTCTTAGTCGTCTTCTTCAACCTATTCACAATCTAGTGACTTTTTCGACTACATACCATAGAGCTACTGATGTTATTGATACTCTAGAAGAGTATGCTAGGAAAGGTCATCTTCGATCAAATACAGTATTTGCTACTTTATATATTCATGATCTATCAACCATCATTCCACATCAACAAATAATGGATACATTGAAATGTTTTCTCTATGATTATCTGCTTGATCAACAAATCGAAGGTATCACAATACCGACAATCTTGGATCTTGTTCGACTTTTTCTTGACAATCAATATATTCTCTATGAAAACAAACTTTATAGGCAAATCCGAGGAAGTGGTTTTAACTCACCATTGACGACGATATTAGCAAACATCTGCCTATATTATTGGCAGCAAGATTTAGTTCATCTTTTAAATGAAAAACAGGAAATCTTTGGCAGGTAAAAATAGTATTTCTTCATCTATTCAATTTTCTCATTCTCTGAATATGACTATATATTGTAGATGCTTCGATGAGATATTCTTCACATGGAATGAATCTGAAGATCGTCTTCGTGATATACTTCATACAATCCACCGACAACAACCAAATATTCAAATCAGCCTTTCTATCAGTCAAAATATCAATTATCTCGATATTAATATTAGTCATGATCATAATGGTGATCTCAAAACACAAGTGAATCATAATCGAAATACTGAACCTTATTCATTACCTTATGTAGTTGGTCATCCACGAAATAGCTATCATACATTATTTCGAGCAACTCTTCTACGTGCGACACGCTGTTATGCACAGGTATTTGATTTCGTGAATGAACTCCAAGATATTCAATTGTCATTTCAATACAATCGATTTTCGAATGATTTTATCAGTGATCAAATTCAATTATTTCTTGAAGAATTTGGTGTACCTCAAATGAATGTTTATTGTGGTGAGATATTCTCTAATCAATCTCTTTATGATCATCTTCGTTATAATGTTTTCAATTATCACCAACGAAGAAAACAATGGAAACTTAAACGTTATCAACAAATCTTTTAATACCAATGCAAAAGATGTATTCCATCGACATAGACAATATCAAAACTAAAGTTCATGCCATTTTTTCGTTCAAACGATGTATTCGAAAGATGACATGTGACTATCGAATCAAACCTCTTATTCTTGTTGTATCTAACTGTAGTTTTACTTATGTCAAAAAGAAAAAGTTTAACTCATTTTGTCTCTTTAAATCAATATTTACTCCATTTAGTCTAGCGTAACAATAGATACACACTTGTTTTTCTTTTCATTTTTCTTTCAGATAAACGAGTCTATGGTTTTCTTTTTATTTCAAACTGAACTTTGCGATAAAGAACCGCAAAGACCCGCCAAACCTCACCAACACGCAAAAGACTGAGACTTAATAAAAAAAAGAGGATATATATATATATATATAGTAGAAATGATGATCTAACTGTAAACACCCTCACCCGCATCTGAAGACATCATTTTTAAGGTATATAATGTCATATAAAATCTAAAGACTGGCAAGACTCCAATTTCAGTTTGAAATTAAATTCCATTTTCTGTTGTTCTATCGAGTCTAGATTGTTTCTTTCGACACCATCTTTATTCGTTAAATCATTTTTCGCTTCCATTTCTAATTCTAGATCACATTACTATCGACTACTATCCTGTTGTGAATATGTCTACTGGCTCATCACAAGAAGAATCGTCATTCAAGATGAAAATAAGAATGATGTACTTCATGATAAATTACCTATTTATGGAAAAAAACGACCATTCTTCTTATGTTTCTCGTCACTGTTTTAGATTTTACGAATGAGTCACAATAACGAAACACTAAGCCATACTTCATTACTTGGAGATAATCAAGGTCGTTGGTATAAATTATTATCACCAATAAAAATATTAACGGATGAAGAGGAGAAGAATGAAATGATGAATATAGACTTAAACAATAGTCACATAATGGATGACGAAAAAGAGTTTCGTAACAGTGAAGATGACCATGTGTTGGTCAATGAGACTGAAGAAATTCCAATAAAGTATCAACTAGAAGTATGTGAACATTTATCTTGTTTTCTATCAAAAAAAAGGATTGTTATTACCATTAATTTTGTTGTGTCTGTTAGCCAATGGAAGAACAACATTTATCACAAAAATTGAGTCAATTATCAACATCGTCGTGTAAAACAACTGATCCTCTCCTCACTAGGACGAGTGAAAATAGAGAGGAGAATGTTCCAGATTATCTAGCAAAAGGAAGTCAATCCTTTGAAAAAATCATCAATCAAATATCATCCATGGAGAAGATCGAAGAATTACGACAAATCGGTATACTCATATATCAATTTTCAATGATCCATCTACAAAAATCGCTTTGGATAGCATACTGGAAAGCAGAAATGGGTCAACTTAAATCATCCAATCAAATGAAGAACGACAATGATCATATTGGTCCACAACTTTGGCCTCTGGAAGTTCAATCAGAAATAAAAATGTCAACCAGCAATGATACTTGTCGAGTTTTTGTCACTCGATATTTTTCTGAATTAGATGTTCAAATGAAACACTATGAAAATGAATTATCGAATAAAAAAAATCAATTCTCTGACTATATACAAACGATTGAAACATTTGTCCAAGAAAACCTTACACCTATTCGTCTCTATTATGAATATCAAATAGCAGTTGTTGAATATAACTATTATGATCGCGTATTAGAGTTAGAATATCTTCAACATAATCCAGCTCATTGTCAAGTCAGTTGAACATAGTTTTATTTTCTTTTATTGACTAGCTGATTGTTTTTTTGTCATTCGTCTTAGAAACAAATAGTTAAACAACTTTGCCATGCTAAATATCAAGAAGAAATAACAAGAGAAGAATTCAATTTTTTCAAAGAACAAATTTCTAATCAAAAGCCTTCTCCATCGTCTGAATTACCACCGCAAGAAACATTCTTCAATACAATTGGCAATCAAGAAGTTCGACAAAAATTGCATGATCAATACCGAAGTGTAGCTGAACAAGCAAAATACGATATGATGCAATTGTATCTTTCATCGACTGAAGCTCAAATGAATCGATATCGTAAACAATTTTATGTTAAAATGAAACAATTCTGGCTTGAACACCGTTCTCTTCCACAGGATCGCAAATTATCGAATACAATGATTCCCCAAGTGAGCAGGGGACGGGTTAAAAGACTAGTCTTTTTTCTAGTCGTGGCACCCCGTCCCGTCTAGTCTTTGTCTCAAAACCGACTGGTCAGCTACTAGTCTGAAGTTTTGACCGTCATGGGTACCCATCCTGATTTTCTAACTGACGGTCATCGTCAAGGCTGATAGGACTAGTCTTTGAGTCAAAAAAGACCCGTCCATGACTATGACTTTACAAATTATCGAGGCGATAGATGACAGATTTTCAGACTGGTAATAGACGAGGACTTTTTGAGACAAAGACTAGTCGGGACGGGCGTCAAGGTCACCCGTCCGAAAATGTTTTGAAATCGAAAAATGAAGGGCGTCAAGGACGTTTACAGGACGCGCTGTATAAACTGTAAGTAGCAGTCGAGTCTGGACTAGTCTAGATCTAAATATTTAAGGGTGAAGGTTAGATTAGAACATGCATACATGATTGTCACTTACCCATCGTTCAGACCGTTCAGCCATATGATCAAGATATCTACTTCTACATGTTCATAATCATTCTAGGATTCGACTTTTTAAAGTTTTACTCAAAATTTTTCATGTTGTCATATCAGTAAAAAATCATCTTTTGTATATAGGACAAGGGAGATGTTTAGAGAGCATTGAACGAAATAAAGTTAGAAAATATTTAATTTTTGGAAAAATTGATTTTTTTCATTATTATTAACTAGGAGTAATAGGTTTCTCGAAAAAAATTTAGAAGGAAAAAATGAAAAATCAATTTAAATAAAATATTAATTAGAATTTTCATATTCTGATTTAAGTTTATTTTAAATTAAAATTACCATGTCCTCAACTAAGGATCCAATAAGCGTTGCTGATTTTGAACTTTTTCTTAAATTTCGAAAGTTTAGAATTTATATGAAAAGCAAACAGTATTTTATTGTGGCATAAAAATAGCTAGATTCCACTATAGTTTTTTAATAAGTTCAATAATTTTAAAATATAAAAGTTATCACTCTTCACTAAAATATTAATACTGTCCTTTTTAGTTACTTTTACTTTTTTATGTTCACATATACTCTTATATTTCGAATATAAAAAGAAACGAAATAAAATAGTATACATCAAGACGAGTATGCACAAGATCTACTGTCCCTCTTTCCTCTGACTATTGATTATGAGATAATCTCTGTTGTTTTTTCAACTAGAAAAATATAAACTAACATTAACAAATCATGAAATAATTTTTGTCAAAAATAAGTGGGGCACATCAATTTCTATAATCAAAATATAACATATTATTCTTAATCATCAGTCTACGACAGTTTCGGTGATGGCGGGGAGTAAAATGACTTTCGTTGTACTATATTAAGCTCATGCTCCGAATACATCTTATTACTCATCAGCTATGCTTAGAAAATAATAGATTGTGAAAATATTCTCAAATAAAATTTGAATTCTTTTACCTTTTTCTATGGATGAATTAAAACGAATTATTAGTACCATTCAGTCCGAACAAAATAGTTAGTGCAGTCTTTGGGATCTCTAAAAATAGACTAGCCACGATCTATGAAGCTGATGTTTCAGACTAGTTCAAACTACTATTATGGACACTTTAGACTAGTCCACACTGCTATTAGGAGCACTTCAGACTAGTCCAGACTACTATTAGGGACACTTCAGACTAGTCCACAGTACTATTAGTGACACTTCAGACTAGTCCAAACTACTGTTATGAACATTTCAGACTAGTCCACACTACTATTAGGGACACTTCAGACTAGTCCAAACTACTATTAGGGGGACTTCAGACTAGTCCAGACTACTATTATGGACATTTCAGACTAGTCCAGGCTACTTTTATGGACAGTTCAGACTAGTCAAAGTTGCTTAACATCGATTGAATTTTATTGTCCGGTGCATATATACTAGTCAATGTGTGATTTAGACTCCATAAAACGACGTCAGTCTATTTGAGTGCATTTGTCTGCCGTCAGCATGCCCGTCACTTTTCAAATACTGTCGGGTTCGATGTTCAAACTCACCTTCCATCTTCTTTTTCTCAATCTTCTGACTAGTCTAGACTGAGTCAGTGGACAAAATGGACCATACATGACTCGGTTCACGGACGTTCTGGACTAGTCTGTACCTGTTTGGAGGACACTTTTCGGAAAGTTGACTAGTCATGACGCATGCGCAAGACATATCAGACTAGACATGGCGGGAGTTACAGACATTTCAGACTAGTCATGGTGGTCGTCTTCCTTTATTTTTTGCTTACTTGGGATCATTTAATTGAAGAACGTTATAAGAATATTAGTGAATCTGTTAAATGCGCCTATCACTATAAAATGAATTTAATGCGTTTGAATTCTAATCATCATTAATTCAATAAAATACGAACTCGTTTTCAATATTTCTCTTTCTATGTTCTTGTTCATTTCTTCTTAGATATCGAACTTTTGTTTTGATTTAGTTTCAGATTTCCAAAAACAAAATGCAAGCTTCATCATCAAGATTAATTCAGGATAGGTCAAGTCGTTCACAGGAACGACATTCATCAGTACAAGACTTGATACAGTAACAAGAGCCACTACCAGTAAAGAAGAGAAAAAAACGAAGAAAAAGATGTCATGGTAATCGAAAACGACAACGTTTCTTAAAGAAATGTCGTCGACGAGGTATGACTAAAGAGCAAGCAAAGAATTTCATGAAGGAATATAAACGTGCCAAAAATGAGAATATTCAAACAAGAAACGAGAACAACAACAACAACAATCAGAATGAGATGGTCGAAGTGATCACAACTGAAGACATGGAAATAACAACAGTATTGAATGATAAGATGGATCAAAATACAACAATAATGACAACCGTAAAGTCACATAAACGTAAACAAATGACACCATCATCAAGTCAAAGATCATCGAAAACGAACAAGAGAAAAAAATCATCACAGATTAAATTGATTCGTATAAAAACAAATTATAAATTACCAATGTATTTGAAAGTACATCCAAATCTACTCTTTCAAGCTTTACGTCAACAATTGAAACACACTCTCAAGAAAAAAAGTGAACGACGATTTCTTCATCATCGACTTCAACTAGTAGATCAACAATGTCGTGTGGATCTTCAGAGAAATTTATGGCAATCTTATTTGACACTAGGATCTGAACACCAAGTATGGCCGGTAAGCTTTTCATCACTTGATTTGATAGAAAGAAAAAAGTCTACTATTTTTTTGAAACTTTATTAAGAATCAAGTGTACCACAAGGCAAAAACCAATGAACATAGTTTATGTCAAGAATTCGTTCAGAAACATTTAAAAGATATTCAACTACAATTCGATCAATATACTCATGACTTAGTGACACAATCTGAAAAATGTCCAACAACACTCTGTCCATTAGTCACACTGGATACGCATATAAAAGAATTTATTCAATTACAACAACAATCTTTATCAAACAAATTAAATTATCAATTGATCAGATATAAAAATATCATTCATGAAAAAGAATTATTTCAAACTTTATCAAATTATAATCTTACGGTTGATCAAGTAAA